TTTTTGTTTATCGAGTAATTAATGGATATCTAGAAAATACATAATAATAATAATACTCGGATCCGCACTTAAAAACACTAGAATGTTCCGATAAAAATAAATGTGAATAATGAAAATACAATCCGAACGAAAGGTACCGATCCGGTTTTCTCGATTATGAATTACTTTATCGAATAAGGGCGGGGTGTATCCGGATTACACCTGACGGGATAGTTACCATGGAAACTAGTTTGCTGAATTTCATTATCTTGTCGCTTTCGAATCAATTTTAGATGAAACATTCGATAATAATAAAAATAAATAAAAAAAATAATAATAATTTCGTGCGTCGTATCGCGGTATCGAAGTAACGATATTACGAAAATCAATTTTCGTTAATTAAGTCATAATTTATTCTTAAGTAAAATAATTACAATTTTAACTTTAACCTGTTACGTATTAATGACACGTTCCGGCGGCATCGGATCGACGATAACATTTTTAACTGTCGTCGGACGTGAAAATAATAAATGATGCAAAATTAATTTAATAATCTACATTTTCTGAGAATAAAATTTAATTTGTTAATGAAAAAAAAAATAAAATAGATGATGAAAGAGAAATAGGAGGCAATTCTTTAGGAGGTTTTGTAATTTTTTTTTCTTTTATTCTTATTATTTATGTTATTTGTAATGATTGAAATTCGAAAGTCACATAGAAAATCTATTAAAAATTTCTATTAAAAAAGTTTAGAAGTCGCTGAAGTTTTACCCAATATGAAAATCTTTTAAAAATATGATTAATTATACAGAATAAATTGCAAATAGTATAAAATAAGACTGTTTAGTAAATTTAATAATAATTTTTTAACTTTACGATAATATACGATTTCGAAAATTTATAATTTCGTACGTAAAATAAATTTAAATGTTGATTTTACAAAATGGCTGACGAACAACAGACGTTCGTTTCTTCTTTATGTAAAAGTATCGTTTGTTAATTACGAATATTTGGGAACAATTAACTAAAATGTGAGAATAAATGTTCGGAATATAACGTCAGCCGACGTAATACGAGAACCCGAATTGTAGATTCCGTGTAATTCGCATCAAATATTTAATTCCGGGCGTTAACATCGCTCGAATAACTTGTCTTCTGTAGCATTAGAAAAGAATAACTTATTTTTTTTCTGAGAATTTTTTTAGCTGTATTATCTTACAACGAAGACAACCTTTCCCTTTCTAACTAAATATATGATTTTTTTTTTTTTATGTTAAGTCGATATACTAATGGCGAAAGTGTTATTCGAACATTCGTTAACATTCAAATTGCTATTGCACTTTTTTAATTTGACGAGAGATAGACGAAGTCCTACCCGCGGGGAGGATTTTGGCGATTTAAAGCGGAAGGCTTTATTTTTCAAAATCCTTATTAGAAACTGTAGAGGCTTTCATTAGATTATAAAAAAGTCATATTTTGATTGCTTATCTCCCTAACCCATCGACGTTTAACCACCAAAATTTAATAGAGAGGTTGCGGCCGACGTTCAAACGTTACTTCTAGACGGCAAGCAGAAGTACACGGTTTACGTTTTAACTGCAAGAAAAAAATCGTTGCGGCGGACGTTCACAACATCACGTGACTCAATGAACGTCGAGCATTGACTCACGGGAAATTTGTTGTTTTTTCAACAAATTTCCCGTGAGTCAATGGGGAATTTCCCGAGCGAAGGTAAATAAACAAATTAAGCTATTTTAAAGAATTTATAGGATGTTATAACACTAAATAATTATTTTTAATTAGCGTGGTATCTCCTACCGTACGATCGGACGATAGGCCTACCTCATACTTTTGTCAAGGGAAGTAGTGGCTTATGTAATTCGAAAGCGGCTCGGAAAATTAATTTTTAGGAAATTTACCAGGGCTGTGGAGTTGCGTAAAAATCTACCGACTCCGACTCCGACTTTTCCTTACCATCCGACTCCGACTCCGACTCCACAGCCCTGAAATTTACAAACGTAATTACGCTGTTAATGGTAGAAGATACGGTTGAAGAACAAACCCACCTTAAGATAAGCTATTATGAATGCAAATATATGAAAATTCTACATCACTTGTTAAAAATTGAATAATTAAATAATTTCTGGATTAAAATCGTCTGTTTCTTTACAATACTATTCACAACTTCTTAAACAATCATTATTTTAATAAAATAAATCATAATTTTAACCCCAAGCACAAAAAAAATGAAGACGTTTAAGCCGATCGTCTACTCACCTTGCTACACGTAGCAAACGCCATTATCGACGGCCCATAACTGCCAGATGGCGGCGCTCAGCCGTTCGCCTTACACGTTTTGGGCTAAATACGACGGCCGCAACCTCTCTAATGACATAAATCCCTTTAATACACAAACCTCTCTGCAAAATTTTAGAAATTTTTGACAAAAAGCACGAGTTATTACGCTTCAAACAGGGTGAACAAAATCGTATACCCCCATACATACTAACATCCATATATACAGAAAAAAACACCGAACTTTTTTCATCTCTCGACGTTTCAAGGTCCCGAGTCCAAAAATGTAAAAGTCTGGGGGACAGTATTTGATCGATGGCCATACTTTCCCTCTGTTATATATAACAGTGTTGGTAAAGTAAAATGCGATATCGATTCTAAGTATATCACATTTTGGCTCTCTCTATTTGTTATAAGTTATAAATACATTCTTAATTTTCAGCAATTCGGGCGAAATTACGAAAAAGAAATTCAGCTCTTTGTAGACGTGTGAGATTTCTTTCAGAAATATAATCATTCGATTAAAAAATTAATACTATTAAAATGAAATACACAGAAGCATTCCATTAAGAGGATATTATAATGCGTTAGATATATAACAACAGATTTTAACGACAATTGTTCGAATTACAATGAAAAATCAGTAACGACGAAGAAACAAATAAAATAAGATTAACAGTTTGTTTACGACAAAGAGATTCCGCCAAAATTTTTATTTGTATAAAAAATAATAATAGAATAAACATTTTCAAAATGTTAAAAGTCTCGGACAGAAATGTTAAAGGTCGAATTCACGAAGAAATGTCGAATATTATACATTTATTATTAGATATTTCTTGAATACAATATTGAAATTATAATATTAAATGAGTTTTTAACATTATAATTATACAGCATAATAAAAGTACTGTGTCTTGTTTAATAATAATCTATAATATATTGTTCGTGGACTTTTTATTACTAGAGAAAAATTTTTTCGGAAATAAATTTATTTATTAAATTAAATAATTAAAATAAAAACTTACATAGAAAACAAACTATACTTCTATTTAAATGTAACCCAAATAAATTTTATTTGCTATTATAATCAATATTTTAAGTAAATTATTTGGAGAAATGGCAGAATGGTCTCATCAGAATTTTCTTTTTTAATCTGTCACAACTTTAACGATTCAGATATCGGGCCCAAAAGAAAACTCCATCGACTTCGTTTAGATTCATTTAAATGCTGGAAACGGAAGCTTCTACCTTAAATTCGCAGTAGTATATTAATTCAATTTTCGTTAAGATTTTCTCTTGTCTTCGAATTGGAATGACGATTTCTAAAAATCGTGGTCACGCGTTCATAAGTCATTGGCTACACAAATGACCATAGTGACTAAGTAACTCTTACAGGAACCGGATAGTCACGAGCTCTTTCGTGCCTTAAGCTTGAGACAAGATCTGTTCCTAGCCTCTGGCATGTTATAATTGGAAATTACCTGACAAAAAATGTAATTGTATATATATATATTGGATATAGCCTATACATTATTTAATTGGCATTTATTAGGAATATTAGAAAATTGTCTTATTATTATTTTAAAAAATCCCATTCAAACTAGGTTTAAAATCTGTATAGAATATATACCGGATAACGTAAGTATTTATAATAATTTTGATACTAAGTTATTTTTATTTATGAATCTGAATTATTTGTTATTATATTTAATGTAATCGTTTAATTATCAAATGTTCGTTATCATACTTTCAAAACTGAAAAAGTTCGAGAGATTTACTCTTGTATATCTGCAAAACTAGTAATAGAAAAAAAAATACGTATTTATTTATGTTAATGATAATTTTATCTGAGTTCTTTTAACCGATATTCATCGATTTCTAATAGGCTTAATATTAAATAGCCATTGCCAACACGTAATAACAAATACAGTATTTTTTTTTGTTTACATCCCCATTAAACCTCGCGGGCAAACACGTGTTTCCTTTTGGATAGTTAATGAACATGGTTCCTCTGGGACTTATTTCTTGTAAAAACGAAAGAAAATTGTAAAGTAATTACTCTGTAGACGTGTTTTCGCGTGTCTGTAGAAATAATTTATTACGGCATTTTCATCGGGCTTTGTCGACTATAACAGAAATTTGTCGAATGGTTTATCGTCTCTGTCAAAAAACTAATAACTTATGTTGTCGAGAATGCAATTTGCTAACGGATGAACGAAAAGATTTTGCAGAAATAATATAAACTAGAAGTGATGACGTAAAATATAGTCTGATAACCAGCGTTATATTAGCTACACCAGAGAACACACAGAGAAAACACCTATCTATCTATAAAATAATTTTAAATTCGGGGTTTTCTACTGTAATGAAATGTACAAAATATAATATTCTTTACAGAAGTTTTATTTACCAACTTAAAAATTTCTTCTACTTGTAGATAGATCCCATGCATTGCCAGGCTTTCCGCATTGGGGGGTCTACCGGTTGGGGTTTTCACCCCCTCCCCGAATATAGAATCGTACACTTCTACAGAGATATAAAAATAAAAACGTTTTTCTATACAAAATTATTCATTTAATTAAAATAGATGAAATATTTTAGCATATTTTCCGACAGAAAGAATGACGTGACGTCATCCTTTTGTATTTGACAAATGAAAATAATCTTATCTTTATATAAGAGTACAAAGGGTAAAACATATTTTATCAATCAAGGATTAACTCCAAACTCATCGTGCATTAGTTAACGCTCGTGTTTTGTATATTTTCAACGTGATCTCGTCTTTGCTTTCCAGTAAGCCCGTAAATGTCAACAAAGATAACATTTATGAAAATTCTTATATACCAAACAGACTTTTGACATTAAGTTTACTTGCAGAAAATTAGTACGTATTTAATTCCCATTTTTGAATGGTGTATCGAATTTAACATTCTTACCTTTCGTCTTTAAATTCCGCAGATTCAGCCGGACTTCGATATAGAAGCGGCCAAGACGAAAAGAAAGACTTCCAGCATGATTAATACAAAAGGTAAGCTTTGAAAACAATTAAAAAAATAAACTTTTATCCAGTTTTTATTAACATAGATTTAATTTAATTTTTTTTTTAAAATTGTATTAAAAAAATTATACATAAATTAGGAAGTATAATTTGACCCTGTAATCGCTGTGTGTAGAAGGGACTACCAGTCGACCCCCCTATAACACTGTTGATTATTCCGTTTTATATAAGTTCCATGTTGTACGAGTCACTTAGATTTTACAAATACCTGAGCCGTTCACAGCCCGGCACACGTATTTGTAAAATCTAAATGACTCGTACAACATGGAATTCATATAAAACGGAATTATCAACAGTGTTATGGGGAGTCGACTGTATATAACGCGTTAGACCTATATCAGTTTACTCTAGTGGCCTATAATCATTATTTAATACGGTCTCGATTTTATATGTAGATAACCGTAAGCATTGGAATGCATTTTCGAGATAGTGTTTCACGTCATGCATTTTATTAGAATAAATATTTATAAAAATATATAATAAAAATCTGTAGGAGAGTTAATATCGGTTACATTTTTGTAACGCGTTATCCGATTTTTTGTTATTCGAAAAGTCAAATTAAGTTCGTTCCATCAACACTTGTCTAAATGTAATGTAATTGTATTAATACAATAATTTACGTCGCAGTTGTTATTATTTACATCTCGAAAAGATTCCTTTAAACACGACAATTACGTAACTCAACCGTTTAGTTTTTCATATAAGAAAGAAGTAAATATAACGTCGTTAATTTATAAACACGCAAATGCGTCATTGTTATAAAGAAAAAGTATAAACAGGGAAATTCAAATCGATAAAAGTTGCGTATGACCGATAAAAGATATTCCCTATTGGTACATAAATGGACTACTACAGATTTACAGTTAGATAAAGACTAATTTAAAATATTGCACAAAGATGCAGATAAGCTTTATAAAATCTATATTATTATTATTATTTTTAATATGAATTCGAAATACTGTATTTTCAAGCGTATGGCTTTTCGTCGAATCAATTACGAAAGGACGATAAAATACTATTTTTATTAATTTATTCGTTTGGCCAAGTATTCTAAACTCGTATTCATTTAACGCATTGACTTTATCGCCCTTTCATATCTTTTATTATAGAGCGCACATGTTTTGCATGATATATTGTAGATTAAAGGCCAATTCACAAGGACGAAGAAAGTATATTTTTGTAAAAATTGATTTAATTTTTTTAAATATTATAATCTGTCAACAAAAGTTATCATTATCTCGTCATATTCAATTGTTATCGATGTATTTTATTTTGAAATTTTTTTTTCATTTTTAAGTTAATCGATTTGTTTTAAAGTTAGACAAAGATGGCTACGCGTTAATTAATTTGACATTTTAAAAATTTTCTTCCGTATTTTTATGCACAGTTAAAAGTTAAAATTTAAATCTCTAAAGTACAGTCGACCCCCTATAACACTGTTGATAAAGTAATTCCGTTTTATATGAATTCCGTGTTGTACGAGTCACTAAGATTTTACAAATACGTGTGCCGGGCTGTGAACGGCTCACGTATTTGTAAAATCTAAGTGACTCGTACAACACGGAATTCATATAAAACGGAATTACTTTATCAACAGTGTTATAGGGGGTCGACTGTATAATAGAGGAGATATTGAATAAAAATGAACTGTGAAGAGATACGTTTAATCTTATCCCACATATTGATATTTACACACGACTATCTTAATTTTTTAATATTTTAAAACCGAATTAAATTATTATGTATTTTAAAATATTTTATTGCATTTATAAATCNTTTTTTCTTTTATTCTTATTATTTATGTTATTTGTAATGATTGAAATTCGAAAGTCACATAGAAAATCTATTAAAAATTTCTATTAAAAAAGTTTAGAAGTCGCTGAAGTTTTACCCAATATGAAAATCTTTTAAAAATATGATTAATTATACAGAATAAATTGCAAATAGTATAAAATAAGACTGTTTAGTAAATTTAATAATAATTTTTTAACTTTACGATAATATACGATTTCGAAAATTTATAATTTCGTACGTAAAATAAATTTAAATGTTGATTTTACAAAATGGCTGACGAACAACAGACGTTCGTTTCTTCTTTATGTAAAAGTATCGTTTGTTAATTACGAATATTTGGGAACAATTAACTAAAATGTGAGAATAAATGTTCGGAATATAACGTCAGCCGACGTAATACGAGAACCCGAATTGTAGATTCCGTGTAATTCGCATCAAATATTTAATTCCGGGCGTTAACATCGCTCGAATAACTTGTCTTCTGTAGCATTAGAAAAGAATAACTTATTTTTTTTCTGAGAATTTTTTTAGCTGTATTATCTTACAACGAAGACAACCTTTCCCTTTCTAACTAAATATATGATTTTTTTTTTAATGTTAAGTCGATATACTAATGGCGAAAGTGTTATTCGAACATTCGTTAACATTCAAATTGCTATTGCACTTTTTTCATTTGACGAGAGATAGACGAAGTCCTACCCGCGGGGAGGATTTTGGCGATTTAAAGCGGAAGGCTTTATTTTTCAAAATCCTTATTAGAAACTGTAGAGGCTTTCATTAGATTATAAAAAAGTCATATTTTGATTGCTTATCTCCCTAACCCATCGACGTTTAACCACCAAAATTTAATAGAGAGGTTGCGGCCGACGTTCAAACGTTACTTCTAGACGGCAAGCAGAAGTACACGGTTTACGTTTTAACTGCAAGAAAAAAATCGTTGCGGCGGACGTTCACAACATCACGTGACTCAATGAACGTCGAGCATTGACTCACGGGAAATTTGTTGTTTTTTCAACAAATTTCCCGTGAGTCAATGGGGAATTTCCCGAGCGAAGGTAAATAAACAAATTAAGCTATTTTAAAGAATTTATAGGATGTTATAACACTAAATAATTATTTTTAATTAGCGTGGTATCTCCTACCGTACGATCGGACGATAGGCCTACCTCATACTTTTGTCAAGGGAAGTAGTGGCTTATGTAATTCGAAAGCGGCTCGGAAAATTAATTTTTAGGAAATTTACCAGGGCTGTGGAGTCGCGTAAAAATCTACCGACTCCGACTCCGACTTTTCCTTACCATCCGACTCCGACTCCGACTCCACAGCCCTGAAATTTACAAACGTAATTACGCTGTTAATGGTAGAAGATACGGTTGAAGAACAAACCCACCTTAAGATAAGCTATTATGAATGCAAATATATGAAAATTCTACATCACTTGTTAAAAATTGAATAATTAAATAATTTCTGGATTAAAATCGTCTGTTTCTTTACAATACTATTCACAACTTCTTAAACAATCATTATTTTAATAAAATAAATCATAATTTTAACCCCAAGCACAAAAAAAATGAAGACGTTTAAGCCGATCGTCTACTCACCTTGCTACACGTAGCAAACGCCATTATCGACGGCCCATAACTGCCAGATGGCGGCGCTCAGCCGTTCGCCTTACACGTTTTGGGCTAAATACGACGGCCGCAACCTCTCTAATGACATAAATCCCTTTAATACACAAACCTCTCTGCAAAATTTTAGAAATTTTTGACAAAAAGCACGAGTTATTACGCTTCAAACAGGGTGAACAAAATCGTATACCCCCATACATACTAACATCCATATATACAGAAAAAAACACCGAACTTTTTTCATCTCTCGACGTTTCAAGGTCCCGAGTCCAAAAATGTAAAAGTCTGGGGGACAGTATTTGATCGATGGCCATACTTTCCCTCTGTTATATATAACAGTGTTGGTAAAGTAAAATGCGATATCGATTCTAAGTATATCACATTTTGGCTCTCTCTATTTGTTATAAGTTATAAATACATTCTTAATTTTCAGCAATTCGGGCGAAATTACGAAAAAGAAATTCAGCTCTTTGTAGACGTGTGAGATTTCTTTCAGAAATATAATCATTCGATTAAAAAATTAATACTATTAAAATGAAATACACAGAAGCATTCCATTAAGAGGATATTATAATGCGTTAGATATATAACAACAGATTTTAACGACAATTGTTCGAATTACAATGAAAAATCAGTAACGACGAAGAAACAAATAAAATAAGATTAACAGTTTGTTTACGACAAAGAGATTCCGCCAAAATTTTTATTTGTATAAAAAATAATAATAGAATAAACATTTTCAAAATGTTAAAAGTCTCGGACAGAAATGTTAAAGGTCGAATTCACGAAGAAATGTCGAATATTATACATTTATTATTAGATATTTCTTGAATACAATATTGAAATTATAATATTAAATGAGTTTTTAACATTATAATTATACAGCATAATAAAAGTACTGTGTCTTGTTTAATAATAANCGGTGTGTCCGATAAAACACACCTGGTGGCAGGACTCTACCTAAAAAGTGCGTAATAAATCTTTACGGCCCCCGAACCCTACAATACGCAAAATTTTTATTGTATTTGTAACATTATTCGTTATTTAGAAAAATGAAATTATTATTTTCTGTATTATTCCGCCTGTCTTCTATTATTAAAAGAAGTGTTTTCGTCATAATTGTCTAATCTAGAAAACGATCTAAAAATTATTTCACATTGAATAAAACAATAATGACGTACGTCACTGCCATATCGAGTAATGACGAGAACTCGATAAACGATTTATCTTCTAATTACTTACCCTTACTATTAAACAATGACACTGCATAATTAATGAAACGTTCTTTAAAGCTTTAATAATGCTAATTGGTAAAACGTTAATTCTACTTTTTTTTTTGCATTGGTTAAAAAAGCTACGCTCTTATTCATATTAAAACGAAATTAGTTATTAAATTCAATATTATCTTAATTTTGTTATCGTTATCGTAATTAATTATTAATTTAATAGATAATTAATCATCTTTATTTATATTTTACTTATACGTTATATATTATAGGTCTGTATATAGGCCTACTATATATTATATAGGAATTTATTTTCAGTGAACCCGTTGGATCTGCAAAAAAGAATAGAATTATTGAAAGGCGAGGAAAAAATCACGGAACAGTTTCATAAATTATCGAAAGAATATAAACTTAGCAGACGAGTGAAAAACGACGTGAAAAAACTTTTACAGCATTTTCTTGAAAAATTGGCCGAATCCGAAACCAACACTCTTAATGGACTCTCTCACATGGTTTTGAGTTTCTACAAAACTACAGAAGAGCATATGGCCAATAATTCTGTGTATAAATGTAAGTTTCTATACCAATTTATTCATAACTTTTGTCATCTTTCTAGTAGCCTAAATTTTAAATTTGAAAATCCTATTTCGTTTTTTTCAGCTTTGTCGTACGAAGACAAGTGGAAAATTTTATACATGATGGAGAAATATTTAACTGCTAGATTAAATAAGGTTATATTTCAATGTATTACTTTCGAAGAGAGCGAAAACGATGCCGCAATTCAAAAAAGAATTCACGATCATTATTGGATAACTCCGAAACATCTGGATTCGAAAGTAAACTTGGAAGCCGTGAGAGACATTTTGGATTTAGCCGTATCGGGTACGTCTCTTTTCACATTTAGTCAAATTAATATAAATATTCAGAAAAATCAAACTCTTTTTCTAAACTTAGATTTAAACGAAATGAATTTTAAGAGTTCCACACTGGATAAAATCGATTGCGTTGTCGAATGCAGTAGAAAGATATACGACATAATGAAAACTTGTTCGCAGGTAGAAGGAGGAGCGGATGATTTTCTCCCGATATTCATATTCGTAGTCCTAAAATCGAATCCACCGTATTTAATATCAAATCTAAAATACATAGAGAATTTCAGCTATCCCCATCGATTGTTAAGAGAGGAAGAAGGATATTACTACACCACACTGGTAAGACGAATTTTTCGGAAAAGCAATAAATGTCGCCGAAATTATTTTTACACAGTTATATTTTCTGTTGTAGCTTTGCGCTGTGAATTGCATCGAGTGTTTTTCGGCCAAAAATTTAAATCTAAGTCCAGAAGAATACGATAAATATCTTTCGTCGAAGACCGTGCCGTCGAGTCCAGCAGAATTTGTGACTCGTAATAACATTAACTGTCTTAACGATTTGAAATTTCGTAAAGAAAAAGTTTTAGACGATGCCAAACAAAATACGAACGAATTGAAGGTAATTAAATTTAAACAAACTTACATTTTATCCAAAGGAATTGTTAACTGCTACGTACTGTATCTCAACCTCTACGGTTTCTTTCTAGCAAAGCTTGTCGAAATCCGTTAACGACATTTTCCACGTGTCGTCTGTACAGCCCGTTACGCTATTATACCACGAACACGAAACTTCTATCGAAGAAGGAATAGAAATCGACGAGTTTTACACTCCATTCTCTAACATCGAAGACGTGCTTAATGAATACGTAATAATAGACGAAATCCCGGAAATTTCGTGATGTCTACCAGGGAAAAATTCCGATCGAAATACCGAAAGCGACTCTCTAAGAATCTCGTAGAATCTCTAAACTTACGCACGGTTATTTTATTTTATTATTTAAATTTTGTTTTTTTTGTATTATAACGCGTAGCTCGGTTAAATGTTAGGCTCGAGTAAAAAGATGTAAAAATCCTGTATCCGGGTCTCTTTTTAAAGTCGATTAACTTAAAAATTGTGATATGTAAATAAAGTAGAGCCTCGATTATCCGACCCCTCGGTTAACCGACCGTCCTAGTCAGCAAATTTCAAATGTCCGCTATTGATGTGGCGCTACAATATTTGGCTATGTCTTGGCTACTTTAATATTATTTTTACGTGTTTTAGCTGGCAACACTGGATCGACCATGAAAGGGAGCCAGTATTTAAACGAGGCTTAANGTTAAATTAAATAATTAAAATAAAAACTTACATAGAAAACAAACTATACTTCTATTTAAATGTAACCCAAATAAATTTTATTTGCTATTATAATCAATATTTTAAGTAAATTATTTGGAGAAATGGCAGAATGGTCTCATCAGAATTTTCTTTTTTAATCTGTCACAACTTTAACGATTCAGATATCGGCCCAAAAGAAAACTCCATCGACTTCGTTTAGATTCATTTAAATGCTGGAAACGGAAGCTTCTACCTTAAATTCGCAGTAGTATATTAATTCAATTTTCGTTAAGATTTTCTCTTGTCTTCGAATTGGAATGACGATTTCTAAAAATCGTGGTCACGCGTTCATAAGTCATTGGCTACACAAATGACCATAGTGACTAAGTAACTCTTACAGGAACCGGATAGTCACGAGCTCTTTCGTGCCTTAAGCTTGAGACAAGATCTGTTCCTAGCCTCTGGCATGTTATAATTGGAAATTACCTGACAAAAAATGTAATTGTATATATATATATTGGATATAGCCTATACATTATTTAATTGGCATTTATTAGGAATATTAGAAAATTGTCTTATTATTATTTTAAAAAATCCCATTCAAACTAGGTTTAAAATCTGTATAGAATATATACCGGATAACGTAAGTATTTATAATAATTTTGATACTAAGTTATTTTTATTTATGAATCTGAATTATTTGTTATTATATTTAATGTAATCGTTTAATTATCAAATGTTCGTTATCATACTTTCAAAACTGAAAAAGTTCGAGAGATTTACTCTTGTATATCTGCAAAACTAGTAATAGAAAAAAAAATACGTATTTATTTATGTTAATGATAATTTTATCTGAGTTCTTTTAACCGATATTCATCGATTTCTAATAGGCTTAATATTAAATAGCCATTGCCAACACGTAATAACAAATACAGTATTTTTTTTTGTTTACATCCCCATTAAACCTCGCGGGCAAACACGTGTTTCCTTTTGGATAGTTAATGAACATGGTTCCTCTGGGACTTATTTCTTGTAAAAACGAAAGAAAATTGTAAAGTAATTACTCTGTAGACGTGTTTTCGCGTGTCTGTAGAAATAATTTATTACGGCATTTTCATCGGGCTTTGTCGACTATAACAGAAATTTGTCGAATGGTTTATCGTCTCTGTCAAAAAACTAATAACTTATGTTGTCGAGAATGCAATTTGCTAACGGATGAACGAAAAGATTTTGCAGAAATAATATAAACTAGAAGTGATGACGTAAAATATAGTCTGATAACCAGCGTTATATTAGCTACACCAGAGAACACACAGAGAAAACACCTATCTATCTATAAAATAATTTTAAATTCGGGGTTTTCTACTGTAATGAAATGTACAAAATATAATATTCTTTACAGAAGTTTTATTTACCAACTTAAAAATTTCTTCTACTTGTAGATAGATCCCATGCATTGCCAGGCTTTCCGCATTGGGGTGTCTACCGGTTGGGGTTTTCACCCCCTCCCCGAATATAGAATCGTACACTTCTACAGAGATATAAAAATAAAAACGTTTTTCTATACAAAATTATTCATTTAATTAAAATAGATGAAATATTTTAGCATATTTTCCGACAGAAAGAATGACGTGACGTCATCCTTTTGTATTTGACAAATGAAAATAATCTTATCTTTATATAAGAGTACAAAGGGTAAAACATATTTTATCAATCAAGGATTAACTCCAAACTCATCGTGCATTAGTTAACGCTCGTGTTTTGTATATTTTCAACGTGATCTCGTCTTTGCTTTCCAGTAAGCCCGTAAATGTCAACAAAGATAACATTTATGAAAATTCTTATATACCAAACAGACTTTTGACATTAAGTTTACTTGCAGAAAATTAGTACGTATTTAATTCCCATTTTTGAATGGTGTATCGAATTTAACATTCTTACCTTTCGTCTTTAAATTCCGCAGATTCAGCCGGACTTCGATATAGAAGCGGCCAAGACGAAAAGAAAGACTTCCAGCATGATTAATACAAAAGGTAAGCTTTGAAAACAATTAAAAAAATAAATTACGGAAATCTACTTGAAAATGACAAAATTATAATCGAAATTTTTGCAGATAATCTAAATAGTGCATGGAACAGGGTATCTACGGTAAGAATGAATCAATCCTTACAGTTAAATTCGTGTACGAGAATCCTAAATTCTTTTTTACTGGAGGATACAACCGCAAATGAAGTCTATTATACAATAATTAACTTAAAAACTCGTGCTCCAGATATAGATAACTTAAATATGGACATAATTAATAAAACAATTGCAGATGTCATCGCTACTCCTCTATCTTTTCTGATAAACAAATCCTTCGAAACAGCAACCTTCCCGAATAAATTAAATTACCACATGGTCATACCGAAATATAAAAATAAAGGGTCTAAAAGCGACATAGAAAATTACCGTCCGATTATCATCATCCCCGTGCTAGTAAAAATAATAGAGAAAATTTTTTATAAAATACTTTGGAAATACATTGTCAATCTAAACGTGATTCACTTATCCATATTCTTACAGACAAAACTGCTCTACAATAGACGCATTATTACGTTTCAAACAGGAAGTTACGAACAAATTAGACAAATCTCGTTCAGTAATAGCCTTATTTCTAGACTTATCAAAAGCTTTTGACAGCGTGGACCTCCGGATTCTCGAAAAAACTTTAATACTGTCTTAAGAGGTGCCTCTACAATGTCACTTTCGTATCTGTTAAACCGAAGATATCAAGTAAAAGTAAACAATGCGTATTCAAAAAGCTTCTCACCGAAAAACCGGAATCCCCCAAGGATCAATACTTGCACCATTACTCTTCAACGTCTACTAGAATGACCTATTTGAAGTGATACCAAAAGCGAAAGTAATAGCGTATGAAAAGATGATATCGTCTTAATACATTCCAACAACAACCCCCAAGCAGCGCATTACGAATTAAATAACATCCTCTGCAAACTAACTGATTACATGAGCTCAAATATGTTAAAACTAAACGAGAACGAAACAAAATATCTCTACTTTGTAAATAAAAATACGAGTAAAAACATTGACAAAAGCTTTTCATATGCTTTTTGTTCCTCTGTTGTTTGTTTATTTTGTCTTTTTGTAGCGCTTGAAAAAGGCCAAATGGTCACAGTGTCTTTTGAGATTAAAGATTATACTTTAATCATTAATTTAATTATATTATTCAGGAGTAAATTATTCAGTCAATAATATAATCAGCTACACGTGTAAATAAAACTATAAACTAATTATTATAATACTGTAGGCATTTATAAAATATTCTTAGAATAAAATTACTTAGGTAATAAGTATATTACGGCGTATTTTGTCGTTAAATATTATTTTATCCCGCCGTATTGTTATCTATATTCATCGGTAATATTTATATTAAAAATTGATTTTAAAAAATAATATCTAAGTAGGAGCGTAAACGAGAACATATTTATATTTAGAAATATTTTGCCATGTAAATCTATAAATAGCAATTATTATCGAATAGCGATAGAAAATTTAGTGTTACGAGATTTAACGATAGCGAAGAGATAATTGTTTAATTTTTATTTAAAAAAAATAACTTATAAAGTAGTCAAAATATATTAAACATTTTAACTAATATTGATTAAATAATTGTATCTTACAATATTTACATCGTGATCCCTACATCCTACAGCAGGGACCCCAGACCAGGATCATTGGCGAGCCCCACTCAAACCCGAGACCTAACCACTCGGCCTCGCGGCCTCTTTGGGATATGATAAGACAGCTAAATGAAAAAAAAAAAAAAATACTATTTTGATTCACAAATTAAGCACGCATTTACAAAAACATAGATTAGATTTATTAGAGACAATAGACGAATTACACCGACAAATTTTACCAAGCGGTCTTCGTTCCCTGAATACTGGGAGTTCGGTCGTGGATTCGCGCCTCGCTAGGACGGGCTGGCCACGTGGAGTTTTCCGAATTTTCTCCACGTCTGTAACGCCTAAATAGGGGCCAGTTTCCCTTAAAAAGACCTCCCGGAAGGCATCCCCCTTGACAGATAGCCCAAGTGTTGCGCTGTCATAAATAAACAAACAAACAACCGACATTAAAAACAAAATAGGAACCAACACAAGAACTGAAAGAATGACAGAAATTGAAAAACAAAGCGCATCAACAAGACAAAACCCAAGAATTTATCGATTAAATTATTTTGCAGTAAATTTTCTGGCTTTTGCCCAAGCAAATTTTTCGATTACGTCACTGAAATTTGTTTGTTTAGCTCAGGAGTCGCCAAAGTGGTCGATATCGACCCCCAGGGGTCGATATCGACATCAACATCATTCGGGGGTCGATGCGGCTAGGGGGTCAATTAGGGGGTTGACGCGGCTAAAGGCCCACAACCTTTTTTCTTTTTGCTCATACAGAAATCACAACGTTTCATTTTTTGCTCATACACTTACACTTGTGATAAAACTTTACGGTGGGGGTCAATGTGAGGTTTTGGAAAGTGGTTGGGGGTCTACGGTTAAAAAAGTTTGGCGACCCCTGGTTTAGCTAAATGATTTCCAATGCACAAAATTGTTAGATTATTTAGTCGCTCCCGACAAGTTGAGTTTCTTTGCCACGTCTTCAGCAAACCTTAGAATATTAAACTACGTCAAGAATTAAATATTCTAATTAAATTGAACTCAACATTCCACAAGAAAATCCAAACGAAGCAACAAATATAGCTGGTCATCTTCATGCCGCCGCCGACGAACCCGGTTTCCTGACTAGGGTCCTATCACTTACTATCATGTGGGGGCCATGATTTACATTATTTATTGTATTCGATATTTTTAAT